ATTGCCTGGAACCTTCTCACTTGGATCTCTAACTTTGCGACTGCATAGTGCAGGTACAAGTAAACGAAACATTTTCTGTCCCTGGTCTCATGACTAGTGGAGTCCCACAGAGTTCTGTCCTCGGCCCCGTGCTTTTCAACGTCTTCATCAATGACTCACCGTCCGCACTGCAAGCGGGTTGCCTAATCTACGCCGATGGCCTGAACCTGTGGATGGAGATATCCAGTATGGAAGATGCTGATAGGTTACAATCGACACGACCTGCTACTTGATTTATCAATTAAGTGGCAGTTGCCAATGAATCTTGAGAAATGTTCGGTCCTTCCAGTTGTGGCGTGTGACCCATTTGTAACCTACCATATTAGTGGTTCCTTGCCCAGAAACGCCACTCAAGAGAGGGATCTGGGAGGGATAATTTCGCCTGACCTCGAATCTAATCAAGATAACAAGCAAAAGGCCGCTGTGGCCTACAGGATGTTTCACTCTCTACTTAGAGCATTCTCTCGCATGACCCCGGGGCTGTTCTGACTCCTGTTTACTTCACACGTACACCCGCTATTCGAAACAGGCTACTTGTTGCCTACCTCCTTACGAAATTCGAATGTGCTATGATTGAGAAGTTTCAACTGCGTGGATCCAAATCTGTTCCTGAACTGCGGGACCTGTCCTATCCTTTCCGACTTAAAAAATACTAAACCTCTTTCCCCTGGATGATCGTCGTCATCGCGGAGATTCCATCTTCACTAGAGGTTTTCTTGGAGGAGAGTTGGGGAGGAAATTACAGGACTGCTTTCATCTCAACATAGAGTTCGACAGGATGCCACGGTTTGAAACTGTTCAAACCGGGGAGTCATCGAGTGAGATCCAGCCTGGCTTTATCCACTCGCTTTGTGCAAGACTGGAACCGTCTTTCGGAGTCTATTCTCGATGCCGAGACCGAGGAACGTTTCAAGCATTTGTTGGATTCTCATTTTAGTTTATGGGGCTCCAACTGTTTTCAATGCAGCTTCAGTGTTTCTCTGTGGAATCTTGTTCTACAATGACCCAAGCTATCTCCACAGAGATCGGGAAGTGACGAAGCTGAAAAAGGACCTTCCTTCTGCTCTCTATCACCTAATGATCCAATAGCCAACTTTTAGCCTGGCGTACCATATAACTCGTGGGTAGTGTTTTAGGAGGTGAGGAGGAAGGGGGGAGGTGGGTGAATAAAGTGGAATGAGATGGGAGGTGAGGGGATTGTAGGTTTTTTGTGTGATGGGAGTGGGGTGTTTGGGTAAAGTTGAGTGGGAGAATGGGGGAGGATAGGGGGGGTGAGGATATGGGTTGGGAGGGGTTAATGGGGGATTTGTGAAAGAGAGATGGGGGGGTTAATGTATGTGGAGGGGTATATGGGGAGGGGATTAAGGATAATTAGTGGGGGATGTATGGGATTGGGAGATGGGTATGTTGGTTTAGGTAGAATTGCGGTTGAGGAATAGGGTGTATGAAGGTTGGGAGGCGGGTACGCGCTACTGACGAGCCCCAATAGGACGAAAGGGCCGTCTAGCGCTTTTCTGGATGTGTGGTGACTGTCTGCCTGTCTAGCTGCGAAGAATCTACATAAAACCTAATAAATCCCCCTACTACTTACAAATAATTAGTAGTCGTCTTAGCATCTTACATGCCACTTCGATTGGTGGCGGCTTGCAAAGGAAGTCATTGCTCTGGGGGCCAGCCCTGTCCACTGTACATTCATAACACTTTTTCTAACCAAAGTCCTAAAGATCGCACTGATTAGCCAAAACGAATGCACCTTTGTTGCCGAAGAACAAGGTGAAGATGAGCCGCTATGACAGTACTTCGACAATTAAAGGTGAAGATAGGGTTCAAAAGCCTCGATTTCGATGAAACGCGGATTTCTGATTTTCAAGAACGCCGGTCAGTCTATGGAGAACGAGGCAAGCAAATCAGAAGCAACGGAGAAGAGGCTGATCTTCTAGGACTACCGCATTCCGAACGTGACCTCCCTTGAAAGATTTACAGCTTGTAACTAATGACTTCGTCTAAAATCAAACGAGAACTTTGGTAGGTCCTCGTCGAAATGTTCGACACACATCGCTGCAACTGCCAGTTAGCAAGCAAGGTTAATTCTTTACGGAAGCCTAAAGGTATACCTAACGATGGTGACCGCCCAATGGGTAACGAGTCAAGTTATAATAGAGTGCACTCAAAAAGTGATTGGCTGAAGTATATCGGTAGTGAGCGAATAAAGAGGAATGTGTGTGGTTAATAGCGCAATGGGTATTATAGTCAATAAGTACAATGAACCAAGGGTATGAATTATTCCGAGACCACCGAGCGTTCCTAGGACGTTTCCAACCGTTAGATTACTATAAGATCGCACGAAAATATTATTCTTGCGTGGTTCATGTTTCGACGGGTGTCCGACAGCTGAAAGCCCGAGACATGTTCCGGTATAAATCTAGTTAATGGTCAACCACGGGGGTGCGATACAAGGCTAGTCTCAGCGAACTGTAGTCAACCAGATGATACATAATCGGGAAAATTTGGGGAACGGCCACCGAGGGTGAAAATAAATAAAGGAGATTCGCTCCAAAAGTATCTACAACAGCTTAAGATAGTTGCGTACCTAAGGTAAAATAACAAGCTCTGATATCAAGACGACTGTAGAAGTAGAATGGCAACATCGCAGCATGGAAAAATTTTCATATGACAGGAATCATTACGAACCCCTTCGTAATATATATATATATATATATATATATATATATATATCACTTGAAAGATATACAACTTGCAGCGCTACAACACAGTGAAAAAACACAAAAGATAGGGAATCATAGTCAAATGAGGGGGATTTCGCAGCATGTTCACTAGTGAGTACGGTTCTGGGCCATATCCATCAAGTGACAACTAGTCTTGTAATATCTCCAGTGCGAGTTAGCAATGCCTATGATCGATACACTGACATCGGACCGGTCGAGGCGTTGCACACTCTACACTATTGACCGAAGGAACGATATCTCACCGTTTACACAGAACGATTTGATGAAAAGACATACGGGCTTTGCTGACAAGTGAAGTACTCTCCTCGGTGACGTAGCTACCAAAGATGATACAACTACCAAGGTAAAGGAACCGAACGAGCTTTTCTGGTGGCTGTTCGGCGATAGCCAGAACTAGTGGCGTGTCAGCCTAGCTTTGAAATTGCCAAGCACATACCGTAACGTATTGCACTTCGCGTCAGACAACTGGGCATCGCTTGCATAGCCACTGTGAACCCATATCGCAAGCATACTCAACGTTTGATAGAGCTACTATCCCAAAACAGGCTGCGATGAAACCAGAAATGAGACAACGCTGATGCAAACAAACTGTAGTGGTGAGGGCAAGTGATAGCTTCCCGTATATCTTATCCGGCCTCAGGAACCGCGGCAGAAAGACCATATGGTAGAAAGTTTTTCGAACAAGCCCTTCAACGATGGACTGCAACATAAAATGGCATAATCGACAAAAACGAACGTAATACTATGGTGATACGATTGTAAACAAGACGCTAATGCAACATCTGACGAATGGTAAGTATTCGGATAACGCAGCGCCGACCAGGGCGAAGGTTAGTCTGGATCCCACGAGGAATAGCGAGTCACAGCAGAGTAACATCAGACAATGAAAATAAGGCTAATGCTTTGAAGATTTGCGCACGAAGTGGTTTAATAATTTTCAAAGACATGAGTGATGGAAGAGACCCGCCAGTTTGTAGGTATCAATTCAGTGTCTCAGTGCTGAACAGGTCGGATAGACTAACCACCAGTGTGTCACCGTTTCTCGGCAAAAGTAATGGGTTTTCGGGCCCAGGAGAATTGTTTCGCTTTGACAGAGCGAGCTCACGTGGAAGAACTCTAAAGTGCTATATGACATTAACCTCCCATGTTGGTGCAGATGTTTCAAAAAGTGATGTCACAGTAGGCCTGCCGCACTGCCCCGCAAAATGGTTCGCCTGAAGAAGCAACGCAATTGGAAACCCACGTCAAACATAATCGCTGCGATGACGAATGTGATAAGAGCTTACAACCATAAAGCATTTGACGCCAAGTAAAAGAGCGAACAGGGCAGACAAAAAGTTGTATCAGTGATTGCCGAGAAAAGTGGGACGGAGTAGCGAAATATAGGGAGAACTGAAGCGGCGCACTCAAAGTGCACACCAGCGTCCTCACTGCGGAAGAACTTTACACAAATGTGCGAAAACGATTAAATTACTAGAGAGATAATTAATGGACAGTAATGGAGTACACTCCAGTGAGCACTGAGACTGCTATATGGCATATAGTGCCATATCGGGAATCTCAGTAGTTCAGTGGGAGAAAGTCTACCCAACTACGGTGTTGCTCGGTCGAAGCGACTCAAAGGTAACGGATAGATAAAACGCTACACATAGGATAAAAACGCATTATGACTGAGGGTGTTCGTGTAAACGATGCCAGAAAGTCTGGCCAAAAAGAAGTGTGAGGCGTGATGTCGTGCACATTGAAATAAAAGCTGACGGGAAAAGAGAATGAAAGGCTCAGCAGTACGCCGGTACGCAGTACCGACACCTCGTTACCGCGCAACCATCAACAGTCGCACGTGAACTGATATTGCGATGGTCGTCAGGACCCTACGCATGCTCGAACCCGCGTCCTCAGATTACAAAGCAGGCTTGTGATTTTTAAGGCTAGGGGCTGGCAAAGCTTACTGGAAAGGATGGTAACAAAAAAACGGTAAGATGGTTATCTAATTTGCATCACATTTAGCACCACTCCATAGATGTCAAAGTTCTGGACTGCGACTGCAATGGCGGTGAAGGAGTTGCAACACACATATCAAGCAGCCAATCCGAAAAGCCAAATAACCAAGGAAGTTTTCGCAACTCGTTGTAACGATCTAGGTTGAAGTGAGACGATTATCGTTTAACTAATACTGTAACGAAACGAAGCGGACAAAGAAAAAACTAGGCCATATTAATGGTGGGATCCAATGTGTGCTACAAAGTTGTGTGGATAAAAGGTGTTAAACAAAATCCGCATAAAAAATATCGAGCACTTGCCGATTTTGACGTCGTTCTTGGCTTTACTCAAGTCAGCTTCCGCGCGAGTACGAAAAGTTTTGCTAGCGAAATTGTATTTCCTAGGATTGTACAGAGTGGCTAGAAGGCGCTTTGTTTGTACTTTGCGACCTTGTAGATAAACCTTCATGCGCGGATCAGAGTACAGAATAGATATATAGGCTCTCAAGCTGCGCCGTTCCGGTGGAAGCCTGTAAAGAGGAAATTCGTTTTGCATTGAGTAGTAAGACCGTACGCAGAACGCTCGAATAATGCGGCATAGTCATGTCTTAGCAAAGAGCAAATGACTATTTGAGCTGCCTAAACAACAGCTGGAGTATGGGAAGCAATGTAGACTGCAGTGGGCCAACATCAAAAGGGACACGTGCCCAAAGAATGTTGTGATGCCACGCACAGCCAATTTGGCGAAATGTCGTTTGAAGATAGTTCAACCAGCAATTGGTGCACATGGCCGTTATCTAGTTACCAACGATCATACAATAAAACAAGCTCTAAAAGGTCATGCTCCGAAGGACCATGACTAAAACACAGAACCCACATGAGTTCGGCGTCTGGCTCTACTGATTCTTCATTCTCAGCGCCTGAAGTAAGAATAATGTCTCGCGGATTGGTGAGAATGTCCAACTCAGGTACGCCATGATCAAGCAGCTTCATGTTGTATATGATAACCACAGTACCCGAAGCCTCCTTCAACTTATCGAACTGCGCAAAAAAGTCCTTTAGACAACGAAATGGCGAATATTTCAGTATGAGGTGAATTTCGAGCTCGTGCTAAGAAAGGTGAAAATAAGACATTAGTGGTTAGTTACTTTCTTTTTTTCCTCGTGCGTTTCAGCGATAGGTGTTTTTTCCTGCCCTTTGAAAGAAGGTAACGGAACAACAACCTAAGGAATGTGGACATAAGGTATTCAAACCTCATCCAACTTCTCCTCTTCGTGAAAGCTGCGGGACAGGAACAAGCAGGTATAAATACCGTCCTTTTTTGTGAATAACATCATATCATTTCCGATGCGCATTGAGCCACTACATGCAATCAGGTAAGAATCACAACTCACGATTTTAGGCCATTGCCGTACATACCGATGGCAGTGGTTTCGTCAGACTTTTTCAACGACTTGCCAAAAATGATGACATTTTTAACTTCCTCTGAAACAATAATCCAGTAAATATCTATGATACCTGGAGACATTCCACAGCCATTGTCGGCAAAACAGAGTAAAAAGTTTCCTCGCACAGAACTGTCTTTAACTATATGGAGATCGATTATGAAAAAAATGACACCAACTGGTGTAAATGTCTAGCTCCGTGGCGCCAGCATCACGCGAGTTGTCAATGAGCTCAGCTATCGCCCCAAAAAGGAACTCGTGAGTAGTGCTGTTCAAGTGGGTCTTAAAACGGAGAAGCCAAGATGACTTACGAGTTAGTGTGCAAATAATCGAAGCTCAACTGAGCCCTATTTAATTGTGAATAAGATTCCATGTTATTGCGTCAGCCGAATCAATATAGACAAAGTGAGTGTCTAAATAAGGAAAAGACCGTCCTTTAGGAAGGTTAACTCGCAACAACGCAAGGCAAAAGTAAGCCTGGCGTTGAATTCGCAAGTAGTGAAAACGGGTGGGTTGTAGGAAAATGATAGTGGACTTATTGTTTGCGATCTTTTTCCTTTCATTCAAACCCTGGACCAAAAATATATTGAAATGAAAAGCATTATGACGCCTTAGTTAGAATAGTGAGTATGGTTATAATCAGGATGTATCAATTTTATGCTCAAAGGCGCGCTGCAGTATGAGCGATAGTCAATTAACTTACACCACACGATATTGTAATCGTAAGACAGCCTAGCGCAATATCTTCTGTTAGTAACGATGACAATAATGGTAGGCGTTAACCATGTATGTGGCCTAAATGAGTAGACCAGAAGCGTAGCTTCCAAATTTCAAATTCCAGCAACGCGCGAGATAGACGCAGCCCAAATATAGAATAAACCGGACACAAGCTATCCGCACTTCAACATGGTTAACTAAAACGAAATAAGTTTAGCAACCGCTGCATATTCATCAGAACGCATACACGCCAATGCCGTATTTTTTGTTTCTTACGCTTTCGGATAGCTTATTAGGATGTGTTAATAAATAGTGGAGAAAACATAGTATCTTAGCAAGAAAAATGCGTTTTCCATGACTGCGGAAACGAGCTCGATCATGGTAGCAACGAGACTTTATAATACGAAAATAACTGTCACACAATGATGCCCAGCAACCAATTTTCTGTGTAGCCAAGGTAATGTGAACCATTGGTTATATAACTTACAAGCATGCGCAAGTTCAAGCTTGATTAGGCATTACTAAAGTAAAAGATGACCGTAAGGGTATTCCTTTAATTGCGTCCATATCCAGTGACGTTTTGAGCGCTTATGTTAAAACCGGGATGAACGAAGCAATACCATTGCGTTACATCACGTTTATTCACTCTGCCCTTGGGGCAAGTACTACCAGCGATGTAACATGTATCTAAGGATTAAAAAAGGAGAAATAAAGCTATTTAGCAGATTGTTTTATATCGTAATACAAGCTCTAAATTGTAACTGAGATAGTATGGGCAATAAAGGATGAGAGTTCAAGGAACCGGAAGCGGAGATTAAAAACAAGTGGGATTGTTTATCCAAGAGCATCTAGACGATACTCGTACTTCTTCAACGTTACTTCAATACCCTTTATTAGGTAGTGTATTCCGATGATCTATGACCCCATGTGTCAATCAAAATCAGTACTAATGCGATTGGACCGCGGTTTATGTGGCTTCATCATGCGGTTCCGGAGCTTGGGCATTCGAACGAAGCGGTACAGTCGAAATAGTATAGGCTCGACTAGGTCAGTCAATGCACGATGCGTAAGGAACAACCGTCGCAATTATTATTATAATGTAGCCCTGACCTTTGCGAACATAAGCATCCCAACGGAATGCGCGTGCCGCTGTAATCAGTAGCACTCTTAACTGACATATTATCTCGGAGATAGCATGGAGGACATGCTTGAGTCCAGTGCCACAATTATGGCCAGAAAAGTTTGAAAACTTTATAACAAATTACCTTTGATCTGATTATGATCGATCTGCGGTTCATCAGGAACATTCAAAACCCTCGTCAGTAGCGTCGTCCAATTTTGGACGCATTTAAATGCTGATGGAAACTAAATGACAAATTCAACTTGTGCCCTCCGCTGTATTGCCTTTTCTCCAATTATAATGCGTGTTGAACGCATGCATGAGCCTCTAATCAGGACGGAACACTGCGAAGGTTTATTGGCAAATGCCACATAGCTGACCTCGCACGAAGCTGTGCAAGAGCGGCATATATCGCCAACCTACGAGCACAACCGCTCACTGTACTATAAATAAGTAAAACGATCCGAACACAGAAAATGTTAGCTTGAGCTTTTTAGGGAATGCGTTAACATACCATGCAGACTATAGCGGTTCGGTTACTACTTTCTGTGGAACACCGCCCAGTGCTGCGTTGCGGAATGAGAGTGCGGAGCCCGCATGAGCGTAATTCCTCCACTGTTGAAGCCCGACAACCTATTACAAGGATTGGCCATAACCGCAGTAAAATAGTACTCTAATCCGAAGGCGACAACGTTGTATAGTGTTAGTGTTTTGGCAAATATACTTAGCAGATCATCAACCCCTGCATTAACTCGCAACCTTCCGATAAGTTCACGTGATTATCTTGGCTGCCAGCGCGTGTGTGCGGATTGCTTAGGCTCAAACATATTTTCTGTAGCAGTATGACCATTTCAAATTTGTGCTACTTATTGGCGTGCAGTGTCTGACAATTCAGTAATGCTTGTAAAATTAAGATAAAGCATTGCGAGACCTGGCCCAAAAGTTTCGATACTAACTAATTTTAAGTAGTTATTTAATTCCATAGCCTGAGCATAAGGTTCTTAGGCCACTAGGAAGTTAGTAACATATGAACATTTTTGGAACCCCTACTGAGGTGGGTTAAGAAAGCCACACTTTAACTGCTCTTTTCGTAAGTATTCTTTTCATTTCCAGACGATTATTTTGACACGCCATCACATTAAAATGATATTAACTTGTTCCACAAAAAGCAAAACAACAAATTCGGAAATGTTCAATACTATCAAACAGCCGATAAATAACAACTGGTCCTGTTTACGACAAGCTTTGACTTAACTACAAAGAACTTCAACCGAATTTAAATTTGATCTTAAATATAAGAAGTGGAGTTTATCAACAAATCGAATTACGAGATTCAGACGGCAAACCTCAATCGAGGTAAATTGCAAATAAAGGACTAGGTTTAAAAAATCAGCTAAAGTAGTCAATGCAACCTGCTTACTACCTATTTTTTAGATCCAATGTCACAATTCGTAAACCAAGCCAGCTGCCAGCCCTTAACCTGTAAAAGCTATCGCTAGCAAGTACCGCCCAGCCTCTCAGCCGAGCAGAGTCGATAAGTTTGTGTGTATCGAGCTAAACAAACGAGAAATGACAACACAGCTGAAATCACCAAATATGTAAAAGTCTTTACACCCACGCAAAAAACAACCAGTGCGGTGGCCACAGCGAATTGTAGTCTGGAGGTAACGAAGCGGTGTCTAGCACAATCGTGTTTAACTTGCCCGATGAATTTTCAAATACGTATTTCAAGTGAGCTATCTTCGACGTTACTGGTAACTAACCTATTTCGATAGGGGTTGAACGACTGAGCATAGAAATCCACTACCTTGCAGCTTCAATTAATTCGATTGATAACGAAGAAATAAATGTGCGAACCGCACTGGTGAAGATCTGTGCATTAAACCATCATAAAGCAATTATGCCTTGGGCCAGTGAGGCCAAACCGAGGTGGCGGCCAACCTTATGTATGGATTATGAAGCAGTATGGCAAACACATTAACGATCGCAAAGAGCCTCGTATATGCCCAACCCACTGATGACAGGCCCATCGACACCTACACAATGTCGTACTTGAAACAGAGGTGGCGCCTAGAGAAAAACTACCCCGCACAAGAACGATGTCGGAAAGCTAGCCAGAAATATCCATGCAACACCCACCCAGAAGCGACACAATTTAGGGGCTCCGTTTAATTGGGCCTCCGGATTGCGAAATGGGACGTACAGCACAATGAGAGTTAAGCTTCCAGACACCAGCACGTTGGACGCAGTTACACAAGCTACCATGCCTGCTAACGGGTTAGCAGCCCATTCGGTGAGGGTTGGAAGGCTTAATAATGATTTATTAATTACCCAGCCCCAATCAAATTTTGTGTTAAAGTTGAAGCGGGTGTGAATAAAACTGATATTAACTGCGTACAAGTGGGCAGAGTAGCCGTGACTGAGTAGCTATAGCCCAAACCGCCAGCGCACTATGTCCTGAAACCTGCCCTTATTAATGAGAAAACCCCCAAATATGATCAAATTGTTAATTGTGAACCTGTAGTTAGCTCTTCATACGAACACGTCCGCAACATGGCACAACACATCTGTGTCCGACGCGGTGTCGCACTAACCAGTGCAAAGAATCCATCACAGAGAAAGGTTGATGGGAACGCTCGAGGTATTGCACATCTCGCCGGTACATCACCTACCCCTCCCTGCCGTGGAGATGAACGGAAAGTACCATGGATTTGCACACCATTAGCTTTGCGCAAACAATAAGATGATTATAGTGCCACGATCGACACTCTAACTTCCTGACTGCCGCCGCTGCCTTCAAAAACGCGGCTACGAAGCTAACAGTTTAGCTGCTGTCAGTCTACATCACACTTCCAAGTAGAAAAGCGGGAGGTGTTTTCCAATTATTTAGCACTAAGGCTCGTTCGCGGCACCATTTTAGATTGCACCACCGGTGAAGGCTGAAAGAGACAGTTTTGCTTCTGTTGGTGGTGAGCCCGAATTTGGCCGCTGTAGAAACCAGGGCACTAGTCATGTGCTGCAGCTCATCTGCGCCGCGTGAAAACAACGCACAGCCGTCAGCAAACAGCAACATATATAATGTTGTCTTACAGAATAAAGTTCTCGCATCGAATCGACGGGTGTTCAGCGACCCACCATCAATACGGTGCCCCACACGAGCGCCCTAAGAACAAGCCGTATCAAAAGCACAATACAGCATTGCTTGAAGATATATATTAAACAAGGCAGGAGCTGACACAGCCATGCTTCACACCAGAGTTACCTGCAAAGTCATTGTTACCCTACGTAGCAAAACACCATTGAAAATTCTATTTTAATCTCGCTGCATTGATCGCATATTCCTCCTACTTTTGTTACCTGTTTGGCCCTGGCTTCCCTCTCCTCCTAGGCAACACCTACCTACGGTCCTATAACGACTTATGTTTCACACTGTAACTCCGCACTTTTGTGAGTAAGACCGAAAGTGTTTGGCTATGAAGCCTACCTTCAGCCTTATCTCGTCCTACTTCTTCACTTTTCTTTTTGTCCCTGGGTTTCCTCTCCACTTATGGACCACCTACCTCTGATGCTCCACCGACTCATCTTCAACAATGTAGCTCAGCACTTTTGTGCGTTGGGCCTCAAGTATCTTGTAATGCTGGAAGACCATCCT